TTCATTTTGAATGTTGAATTAAGGTTGCGTATGGAAGGTTTGAAATAATGATTTTCATGATGAATTAAAATATAATTTTACGATTTAAAGGTTTGGTCTCTAAAAGTGTTTATTAATTTAATAAAAGTTATTTTATAAATCATTTGATTACAAATTATACAATTAAAGGAATTAAATTAAAATTTGTAGCTCATTATATACCCGGGACTGGTTAAGTAGGACCATGTACTTTGTATGATCTGGTCTTTTTTCAAGTATAGTTTGACTTACTCGGGGGGGAGGGGGGTTGTGTGCACATACTTAGGTGAGAAAAACTAGTTTTGGAATTTTGTCTTAAGTTGGAAAGTTTATAAATTTGGAAATCTATTGATTTGGAGTATATGAGTTAGACAAGTTTTTAATTGGGGTGTATTGGAACAATAATTTTTAAGGTTATTCTTTCTATTATTATTAATAAAAGTCTGTTATTTTCCGCTGCCATTTTGAGTAGTTAAATAAGCTTTACCTTTATTTCACGTGGCAATAATACGTCCAATTCTATCTCTACAGTATTTGAATACGTATAAATATAGTATTTACATAGAGGGTGATTTAGGAGTGCCACAGAATAACTAGCCAAAGTTATCTGGTCAAAGGACCAACCAATAAAGATTGTAATTTTACATCATTATAAAGTGTGATTCGGTCCGTTAATGTCCCATAGATTACAAACTTTTGCCTACACCCAAATGCAGGCAGCACTACCTGCACCCCCCCTCTCTCCTTCGAATGACGTCATTTAAGTTTTTTAGTTTCGGATCACTTGGAAAATGTTCATTTTTATATATGTAAATGTTCAATTTTGCATCATTAAAAGTTCAATTTTGTTAATATGACGTACTATATTCAAATTTTTTTAAAATAATTTTTTTTATTAATTTGTCTTATTATTTAATTAATTTAATAGATTTCGTTTGGAAAAATATCTTTCAATAATAAAAGTAATTTAATTACAATTAAAATATTATTTTAAATTAATATATACTCATTGTTTCTTAAGCATAAAAGGAAACTTTTTTTTTTAACTTTTTTTAATGTAGATATACTTAATTTAATAAATAAAAGCAAAAACTACAAGGGAAAGAAATTAAAAAATTAAACTTAAATAATGTACAAATTACATATGTGCTTTACAAATTAAACATCGTCTTTTGATTTAATACATTTAGTATGAATAAAAGATACTACTATATAGAATCATCCTCCTTATTGTATGATGTTTTTGTGTTTTTCTTGATACATATTTTTTTCTCAATATATTCATTATCGTCTTCAACTTTTTATTTCATTATCCATCCTATGTAATAAGAGTTTTTTTTTTTTAAGAGAATACCTTAGTAATAATAAATACAAACTATAAACAATACAAGATAATATAATAAGCATTTACAAATACAAATTTGAACACATTGCTAGAAAAACATAATTTAGTATGATAATGAACAAACATTAAAATCTAAATGAACATCTATCAACATAAAAATGAACCAAGTATGAAAAGTCAAACAAACATCTTTTAATACGAGAATGAACAAATATTAAAATTTAATTGAGCATTTTCTGATAGCAAACAAGTATTAAAATAAAAATAAATACTCCGTATCTTTTAATGTGAGAATGAACAAGTATTAAATTAAATGAACATGTTTAGGTACGAGAATGAACAAGTACTAAATTGCAAATGAACGTCTTTCAAATGAAAATGAACATGTATTAAATTTGAAATGAATGTCCTTACATATATATGAGAATAAACATGTATCAAGTTTAATTAAAATTATATTAATACGAAAATGACCATAAATAAAAATAAATTCCATCTAAAATGAATAATTACATTAGATTTAATTTACTAGCCAAAATTCACCAAATAAGAATTTTTGTTTAAGTATTAAGTTATAATAATTAATAATTGATGATTCAATTCCATTAATAGATTGATAATTTGTCTTTATATTTGAATATTATTCCTTCTACAAATGAACATGAATTCCATTTAAATGAACATTTACTGTAGCTTAAATTTACCATCTAAAATTCTCCAATAACCATTTTAATTAAAGAATACTCGATGATTGATGTTTTAATTCCATAAATCAAATTTATAAATCTTTAATTTTAGTGATTTATAATTTGAATATTATTCCTTCTACAATTGAACAATAATTCATCCTAAAATGAACATATACTATAGATTACATTTTATACATAGTCAAAATTCACTAAATAACAATTTTAATTAATGAATTGAAATAAGCAATATTAAATGATAATTGAGGTTTCGACTCCATTATTAAATTGATAATTCATCTTTAGTATTAAATTTTTAATTATTATAATTTGAATATTAATCATTCTACAAATGAACATGAAGTCCATCTAAAATGAATATTTATAATAGGTTAAATTTACACGAAATTTATATGAGCAACTATTAAAATGTGACTGACCATATATTTACATGAGAAAAAGTATATAATGAAATTCAAAATTAAAATAAATAACTGACAATTTATTTTTGATCATGTATCCAAATGAGTATAAGTGTGTATCAAAATTCAATTAAGATTCTCTATTTCAAATATGAATGTTTCACGATACTGAAATTTCGTAGAATTAAAGAAAAAAAAATTAAAGAAGTATATATAAATGAACTTTATATAAAAAATTTAATGATAATCTATTATATGTAAATAACCATATATATTGATATCATAAATGAACATCTATCAAAACAAAAATGAACATCTATCAAAATAATAATGAACATTTTATCAAAAATACAATTCGTAATAATCCTATAAAATAACAGAAAATTACAGCAATTGTACATTGTTTTCAACTTTCTTGTCCAACAATCCTACAATATGAGAACACAACATAATTTAATTCAAAAAACTAGAAAATTCTATACTTTAACATAACTTAACTATAATAACATCACTTCTTACCAATATTTTAATATCTAGAAAAAAAAACTAAAATATATCAAACATTAATAGTATAATTCATCCAATGTTTTAAGATTTCTTTCTATGCTTTGACAATTAATTTGGGGAAAAAATTTAGGGTAATGAAATCGATATTTAACGATTATATGAAAATTGTTGAATTGGAAAAAAAAAAGAAGAGAAATTAGTACATCATCAATGAATTTGCGTCGACGATAAAGTTCCGGTTAGTGGTGACGTGAATAGATTATGATGAAACTCCTAAAAGGAAAAAAAAATGAAGGTTTATATAGAGAGATTGTGGAAAGGGTGAAGGTTTTTGGAGAGAGAAAATGGAGTTTTTTGGAGAGAGAAAATGGAGGATGAATGCTTTTTGGAGAGAAACAATAGAGGATAAAATTTTTAGAGAGAGAAAATGGAGGATGAAGATTTTTAGAGAGAGGAAATGGGGGATGAATTTTTTGATGAGAAGCAGTAAGGTGAAGATGGTGATGTATAATTTTTTTTGGGAAATTCTACGCTTTAACCCTCGGGTGTTCGAAATTCAACGCTGTGCCAATGGTTTTTGAAATGTCTACAATGTAACCCCAAGGTCTCATTAGTAACTTTGTTGTACCCTTGTCGTTAAGTTTCCGTTAGTAAATTTCCGTTATCTTTAAAAAAATAAAAATTTAAAATTTAAAAAAGAATAGAAAATCAAAACCACCAACCCAACCACCCCTAACCAACTATTGCAACCCACGACTAGCCCTACCCCGTCCCCTCGAGCGTTGGCCGCCACTCAGATCCCTTTCCCCAGTGTCGGCGCCGCCGCAATGACCTTCCCCTTTCCCCGTAAAACCTCGCGTAACCCCTCCCCCCCGCTCTAAAACACTTTAAATAACCTCCCGACTGCCGGAAAACATCGAGCCACATCTCCCTTCACCGTTGTCATAGCAATTCGCTGTTGTTCCTTTTCTCTTTCTCCGCCCTAGCCTCCTGCTGTCGGAAATCGAAGGTTAGTGTTAGGGTTTGGGATTTGGGGGATGGGATTCACTGAATTTCGTGATGTATTGGTGGGGAAGGGGAGGTGGTCGGGGCAGCGCCGACGTTGGGGGAGGGGAAGGAGTCTAGGCAGCCGACGCTCCGGGGGAAGGGGGGCGGGCTGGCGGTGGCAACGGGCTTACCATGGGGTGGGTTTGGTGTTTTTTTTTTTTTTAAATTTTTTTATTTATTTAAATTGTTTATTTAATTTATGTCTAACGGAACTATATTAACGGAGATTTAGCATTAAGGGTACAACATAGTTACTAATGGAACCTTGTGGTTACAGGGTAGACATTTCAAAAACCATGGGCACAACGTAGAATTTCGAACACCTGAGGGTTATAGCGTAGAATTTTCCATTTTTTTTATTTTTTACTTCTATACAAAAATTTCTTTACGGAGTATTTGTTAGATGGTGGATGGGGGTGTAGGCGTGTAGCCATGTAGGGATAGACATATAGTAACCTACACTTGGTTCAAAAACACTTGCGTGGACCTGGTCCACAATAATATTATTGTGGACCCGAGGTCTATACACACGCAACTGACATTATATTGAATATAATGACCATTATTTTTAACATAGTAACCTTATTTTTAACATAGTAACCTTTATTAAAACTACTACAACGTTTAATAATATTGTGAACTTGAAATACGACGCTATTACCCTAATTTTAGCATAGTGACCTTTATTATTCATATTAATCAGTATATAAAATATTTCATTACAAAAATAACCACTTAGGCCTATATATTACCAAAATGATTTTTATTTCAACATAGTGACCTTATTTAAAATTATAGTGACCCTTTTTTTTGTTAATAAAACAACCATATTTTCTCTAATGTTAGTGGTCCACAATAAATTAGTGTGAACCAGGTCCATTTAAGAATTTGTACACTTGGTTTAGATATAATTATTTATTAGATTTATCTGACTCATTTATTTATTGGATTTATCTGACCCATTTATAATTGGGGCATGCCTGTGTAAAAAGATAAAAATAAAATAATTGACACGAATGAAACGGATCCCCTCTCTCTCAGTTCTCTATTGAAGCACACTCAACATCGTACTTGACGTTCTCCAACGAGGCAACGAATACTTGTATCCTCCATTGAAGCAGCTTTTGAGGTAAGATATTTGTTTTTGTGATCATCATCATATCATATCAATTGGTTCTGAATAACAAGATTAAGAAAGATCATAACCAGTGATTATATTGGTAGAAAACAAAATTATGAGCCTAATTTGATAATTAAAGATTTAAAGTACTAAAATTATGTGATTTTCGGGTTTTGTTTGATAATTGAATCAAATTTTGTCGCTAATGTATTGCACAACCCTTTAATGTTAGGATTGAACTATGAAATTAGACCTCTTCTTCTGCATTGTTGGCTGATTATGATATGTTATGGTATTTTACAAGGAAATCAGTACTTTACCGGCATTGCGAAATCGGAAGTATGGGTTATGTGACTTATTTCTTACCCTACGCATTTCATTTTGGACATGAGTCATGAATTGTTGATCATAAATTAGCCATTGTCAATGATACTTCAAACATAATTGTGTTGTCATTTCTAGAGGCAGGGTAAGGTTTTGTTGATGAAATTCAAGAGCGTTATTGTGAAAATTCTATAGTGGTCGTTTAAAACATGATTACCATAATGTTTTTCATGATTAGTTCCTAATTGACGTATTTTTCTCCAAGTAATTAATTACAAGTTATGGTTTGCTATTGGAATACTTTGGTCATATTGATGGGTTTTATTTATTTATTTATTATTATTATTATATATATTTTTTTAAAGTATGTGGGTGCTGGAAAATTGATATATCCTTGCACTTTTTGTTGGCATTGTATTATTGAATGCTAATATGAGGACGGTTTGTTCGTTTAGATGAGCGCTATAGGTAAAATTGTTGCTACAAGACTTAAAAGTTCAGGACTAATAAGAAGTCAAGCTCTGATTGCTGGAAAATGGACTGAAGCTTATAATGCGTCTACCCGTGATGTCATTTCTAGATGCAGGGTAAGTTTTTCTTAATGAAATCAGGAGATACGGGAGAGTTATAGTCTGCTTTTGGAATATTTGGTCATTTTGATGTTTTTTCATTCCTTTTCATGAGTTAAAGTTTGTGGGTGCTGCAATAATTGATATGTCCTTGTACTTTCTGTGGGCATTGTATTATTGAATGCTAATATGATGACGACTTGTTTCTTTAGATGAGCACTAAAGCTGAAAGTGTTGCTATGAAGCTTAAAAGTTCAGGACTATTCAGAAGTCAAGCTGTGATTGCTGGAAAATTGACTGAAGCTTATGGTGGGCATACCCGTGCTGTCGTTTCTAGATGCAGGGTAAATTTTTGTTGATGAAATTCAGGAGGGTTATGGTTTTCTATTGGAATACTTTGGTCATTTTGATGTTTTTCAGTTCTTTTCATGTTTTAAGTTTGTGGGTGCTGCGAAAATTGATATATCCTTGTACTCTCTGTTGGCATTATATTATTGAATGCTAATATGATGACGACTTGTTCCTTTAGATGAGCACTAAAGCTGAAAATGTTGCTACGAGGCTTAATAGTTCAGGACTGTTAAGAAGTCAAGGTCTGATTGCTGGAAAATGGACTGAAGCTTATGATGGGAAGGTTATCGAGGTATGAATCTCTTGATTTAGTGGTTTCAAAAATTGTTGGTCTCTTGGATACTTGTGGTTTATGAATAGGTAATGTGGGTTAAATATATGTTAATATAGAGTTAGTAAGTTAGAATAACACTCAATTTTCTTTTGAAAAGAATATGCACATTGTTACCCGTACTTATAGCTGAAAGTAAACATTCTGTTTTGACTGCCTGAATACAGATTTGGGAATAATCCTTTTTTGGGATAGAGATAGACCAGTGAACACCACATCCTCTGGCACTCTATAGGAATGTGTGATTTATGTTACTTAAAAAATTACAGAATTGCCAAACGCAACACTTATAAATTTAGACTTTGACAAATGACAATGCACAAACTAAAAGATCATTTGCACTACAAGTGGCTGGTTATGAAGTGGCTGAACACAGAGTGTCCCTTTTCTCATTTAGGTAATTAACTATGCCCACTCAGCTCCTAAATTTGGTCACCTAGTACCAAAAGATCAATAGCACCATTAGTGGCTGGTAAATATTAGTTGAACATAGAACATTCTTCTTTCCATCTTGGTACATCAGTTTTTGAAATCAAAATGCTTGTCGAGTTAGTGTCGCTAGCCAGTGTCATCCTTGACCTTTGTTGTTCCTTTGACGAGGCCACCTCATATTTCATTTTCCTTAATTAAGAAGCTGTGAAGGAGAATGGTGAAGATTATGGAGAAATCACCCCATAGCCAAGTTTCTATGCAACTTGTGTGCTCTTACAGATTGGTTCTCATCTAGCTGCCATATGAAGATAGTAAAGAAAGCATGGGAGTTTTCAAGCTGCATTTTGTCTCTGTAGAACATGTAACTCAGCTGCCAGCGAATCAGCTGGGTTCTTCGAATCCCGTGTGAATTTAAATGAAGGTTTCAAATGGTGGGTAGGACTAACAGTTGTCAAAATGCTCCATAATCTAACATGCATGTGAAATCATATATGGAGCAACCCAAGAACCAAGCTGAAGCACAAAAGCCAAGGTGTTGTAGACATTGACAAGTCAATGAATCACAATGGGGTGTGAACAAAATGGAGGATAAGATCTTTATGTACAAAGTAACAGTGATTAAAAAAAAAAAAAAAGAAAAAAGAAAAAAAGAAAAAGAAAAAGAAGTTAGGCAAAGATTTCATTAGAAATTCCAGGAATTATCAAGCTTTGAGTCTATTTTGGACAACATTAATCTAGAAATGAGCAACTGTTGCCATGAACAGGGCAATATCCTCCCCCTAGAAGAAAAAATGTGCTGGATATCTCTAATGGCTTCATTTTTTTGTTTTTAGGTGCCATCTGAGTGGAATTTAGTTAAAATATTGCCTGTTCTTAATTGATAATTTTGCTATGAGTGCTGTCAGGCAGTCATTTTAGTGGAATTTTCGGATGGCAAGATAGTAGGAATCTTGTACCTGCATCATATTAGTTTTACTTTACTTGATTATCATTTAAGGAAGCAATATTTTTTAGTCTTTAAAGGTGACTTGTATGGGCTTCATGAACTTTTTTCACAGCTAAAGTTTACACAATGAGATGACAGGTGACCAATCCTGCCACTGGTGATGTTGTAGCAAATGTTCCATGCATGGGTGGAAGGGAGACAAATGATGCAATATCTGCAGCTTATGAAACATTCAGTTGTATGTGACTTGAGTCCAATCAATCTTGCATTTTGTAACATTCTGAAATAGTCTTGAACTCTTTATATTTACAATTCTCATCTTTTAGTCCTGACATGTAATAAAGGTTTCCAATGAATGCAGTAGAAGCTTAATGTAGGTTTGTACTTAATTTTTAAAACATATTAACCTTGTTGGTATTTTCAACTGTAGAGGCACAATGTGGTGTTTCTAAAACTAGTTTAATCAAGGTTGGGTATGGCTGTTTTGGATGTAGACTACATAGACATTTTATAATAATTAAAAATTCCTGTGTTTTTTGTATTATTATTGGTAAAATAAAAAGTATATAACTGTCCAAATGGCTTTTTGTCGTTTCATTGGTGTGGCAGTGCCTTTTATGTTGTACTTCAGTTCCCCTGGTCTAAACTGAATTAGTTCTTGCTCACTTTTTGTTGATGTCATGTCTTTGCTTAATCCCCTCTTTGATTTCGCTTTTGTTTGTTTTCCCTTTAGCATGGAGCAAAACCACAGCAGCTGAAAGGAGCAAATGCCTACGGAAATGGTATCAAATTGTTTTCTATCTCTTTCGTGTTTGATGTTCTTCAATCAATGTCTATGAAAATAGTACCAGACTGTTTTCTGCTTTCATTTATGAAGCCACATTTTGTATAGTTTTGTTTTGAACTGATGTTATAAAAAGTTTCCAGATCTAGGTATGCCTTGGCTTTATGCACAATAATTAAATATGTCCAATGGACAGACATAAAGTTGGATACTAAAGTCAGGTATTGACAGGGGTTTTGGATTAAAGAGTATTCTTTCCCTAATTGTTTTCATTGCCTCTATCATAAGTTTACAATTTATGATTTTATTTATTTTTCTTAGACTTCCAAGTGGAAGAATGTAATCTAGTTTCTTGATTTTCTTCTTTGGGAAAGACTCTAAAGAGTTGGAGCTATTATAATCAACAATTTAGAGCTATTGGAAAACGTTACTGTTTCAGAATTTTTGGATAAGATGGTGAGATTATGGGCACTCCTCTGGTCTTTCCATAAATCTTTTTGTTCTCATTAGCAAAAGCTTCTGCATGCCTTTGTAGTGGGAAATGTGATATTTATTTTCCTAAAATCGGTATGCTGTAATATTTGTAAAATTTCCTTTGTAGGTAAACTTTGCAATGTTAAAGGAACAAAGGAAGTAGGTAATCACTTAATTTAGCAAAATTTAGTTTTAACTAAAAACAGTTTGTAACCTCATAAATATATCTATAGGAAATTATTATCTCAATCGATTTAAATTATTCCATTTTGAGTTACTTTATGTAGAGTCTTGTTTCTAGGAAAGTTGAAAAATAAATGGTGAAAGAAAGAAGGTGTATAGAGTAAGAGGGATGTAGTAAAAGGTGTGAGTGTAAGAAAAAAAGGTGGATAAAGTTAGAGACAGTATAATGGTGTAACTAGTGAGGGGGTAAATAGTAAAAGGATTTTGCAGAAATTGGATCAAGTAGAAATAAGTCGAACTTCTAGAAACACCTTAAAGCAGATAGTGTATCAAACTTTCTGGAATAGGGATATATATTTTTTTTATTCTGGTGCATAAATATTGTGTATGATGGATTATTGCATTTCATTTACTTCCAAATTGTTCGTGAATTTTTAAGTTAATATGGTATTATGTTTATTAAATTGGTAGTTGTGCGAGGCTATGTTTCCAAACAGGGTCTGAAAATAACACTTATTATTTTGTTTATGGCAAATTTATATCTTGCGTCATTGTTTAGTTTTCTTAACAATTATTTCATTCAGGTATGATTTGCTGATTGCTCATAAGGAGGAGCTTGGACAACTGATTACATTAGAGCAAGGAAAACCCTTAAAAGAAGCAATTGGTGAGGTAATATTTTTTTTCCAACTTTTGAATACTTCTGTAATCTTTTCCAACTCACAATGCAAGAACAAAACACCATCTAACTTTTTTTCACCCAAATTGTGCATAACTTGTGCACAAATTGTGCACACTACTACCCCTTTTATCCCCAAATCCAAGCTTGGAACTAGTAATAGACGGGGCTAAATTAGGCCAATAATGTGGTAAAAAAAAACATTATAAGGGAATAGGCAACAACATAGATAGCAAGTAGGAACAAATATATCTAAAATCATATGATGGCTCCTTAATATAACAAATGCCTTTGTCCTCAATGTGCATATAAGTGTGTCATGGAACATTACTAATAGACAAACCAATATCTAAATTTATTGCCATATCAGGAACTAACACATAATTCCTCACAAATCAAATATTAGTCAAGCACCAAATCACAAATAGTTAGACAAAAGTTGGCGCATGTTAGATTGTCAAAGCTTCCATCAATTCATGGTCAACTAGTTCATGGTCATCTCTCCATGTTGGTTCTTATTTGATCATCTCAATGATTAGTTTATCAATATTCAACCGTTTTTTTTTTTTACTAATATACAACTATAGATACTTGTGGTGAAAGTAATGCCTAACAAAAGTGCACAGTCAAAATGGAAATAAGTCAATAACATTTAAGATCGGAGGAAGTAGTATTTTTTAAATTGTACTACATTCTTTGAAAACGATGTTTATATTATGTCAGTAAGTGACAATAACCAATCAAAGGGTATTTTTTAAAATTGCTATTAGTTCAAATAGGAACTCCAAAATCTACTTGGAGATTTTTGTAGAAAATTTTATTCAATTTCTTTTTCCAAGAACATTAGCTTGATTACATTGGGTGTATTATAATTTTGTAGCAACCACTTAATTTCTCATTGCAGGTTGCTTATGGGGCTTCCTTTATTGAATACTTTTCTGAGGAGGCAAAACGTGTATATGGTGAAATCATTCCTACTCCACTATCTGATCGACGGTTGTTTGTTCTAAAACAGGTATGTCTATGAAGTCTAAATAAATTATGCCACTTTTACAAAATATCAGATAATATAAATATGTGTTGTAGTTTAATGTTATTTGCTTGTAGTGGAATTTTCCTTTCAGAAAGTAGGAACATAATAGGTTATGAAGTCTTTAGAATATAGGAACAAAATTGGTACTAATGCTTTACAGGCCGTATAAAAGTGAATCCTTACTTCAATATATTTGTAAGATTTAGATTAAGGGAGTAGATAAGATCTAGAATTGTTTTTGAAGAATCAACAATTAACACTCTTGATAGTTTGTAGATTTGAAGATATTGGATAGATAGATTTCTTGTGGAAGGTTTCATTTCTTATATTAGGCATGTTATGTGTTGGAATTTGATTTTTAAGTCATGTAAAAGAAAAAAGTCTTTCCTTGTATTTTATAAGAGTAGTTACCTTGATTTACAATAAAGTGTTTAAATAATTAGCTATAATTATGGAGGCATCTATATCTTAGACCATCTTGTGGGTTTAGTGTTTAAATAAAGGACAATTTTCAGAGAAATAACTTCAAAGTCATCAAGCTCTTTTGGTATAGGGTTTATATAGCATCTACATATGTGATATTCCATGGCGTGCTTCGACACATGTGTTTCTGTTTTAGGGAATATAAAAGGATAATTATTACCTAAGTGACAAGGGAAATTCTCTTTGGTAAGACTATTTTTAAATTTTCTCAGTGGTGAAATGTAAAAAATCTTATGTTCCTTGGTAGTCATAAATTTTTAAAATTTCTTACTCACGACTTTAATGATAATTTTTTACTAAATCTTTAACTATAGTTAGATTTATCTATTTTTTTAACAATTAAGTTGTATTAGAAATTAAAAAAAAAAAAAAAACTCAATCCACAGCAAAAACCACCAGCAACCATCCTCTTCCCCCTCTCCCGTTGCCCTTCCGCCCAGCTTCTCCTCCACCGTGAGGAGAAGAGATCATTTGGTGAAGTGAAAGTTGGCTGAAAGAGAAAGGAAGATTATGAATTGGAAGGCTTGTTATAAAATGTTTTGGTGGGAAAGTGGTGATGGGGCTTTCTTGTTGAATCTCAATTGTTGTAGCATCATGTAATTCCGAGTGAGTAAAAGTACAAGTTGGTTGAAGGGTGGGATCTGCAGTGTGATTTTTCGATGACTTCTGATTGCTCTTTGTTCAAAAGTTTATCCAGTCTTCCTCTTGTTAGTTGGTTTCAAGGTGGAATATGGCCATCGCGTTAGATTTTGGGAGTATGTTTAGACTTTAGAGAGGGAAACAGCTGAACTATGTTCTGTGGTTTTTTATTTTATTATTATTTTTTTTGTTTATGATATGATTTGTCCATTTTACACAAAGCTCCTAGTTAGCAATGTTTGGGTTCTTCATTTATGGAGGCGTCTTCATGATAGGAAATAATTGAGCCCTTTGTGATTTTTGAGATAGTTGTTGGGGATAAAGTGGACACCTTTGCTTGCTAGTCTTTTTTTGGTCTACCTTTCTCTGCCAGCTAGGTAACCCCCCCCCCCCCCCCCCCCCCCCCCCTTTCCTAGTCCACAAGTCTTTTGGATGGCCAGGGGTTCTCTTGAGGTGATAGCATTTGTGTGGACCTTTGGTTTTGAGAGAATTAACGCTAATGATGTACTTCAAAGATGAAGACCATGGATGGCTATTTTTCCATATGTGTGTATAATGTGTTGTGCTAATACTGAGATTGAAACCATTATTGTGAGATATGTACCAATATTTGGTAGAGGAGTTTTCCATATGGATTGTACAACTTATCCCACATTGTTTTACATCTGTTGCAAGTTTGTTTTTTTGAGCTTTAGGAGGCAAAGGAGAAGATGTTGTGGCGTAAGCAAAATGCTTTTATGGCAGTTCTATGGTGTTTATGGTTAGAACAGAATGCACTAGTTTTCAAGGGAATCACTTGTTGGATAGGATAAGTAAATAGTTTTTTTGTGGGCTAAAGCGGTAGGGGAATATCAATGTTACCCTGTGAGGAAAATATTAGAATGGTGCTAATATATTGGCCTGTTATTGTACTTACTGCTATTTGCAATTATATTTTTTTTTTTTTTTTTTTTTTTTTTTTTTAAAAAAAAAAATTCTGTTAGAGAAATAACAGTGGAGTCGTTATCATATAGGTTCCAGTCTGTGTTTCTATTGTATCTCATTTTATATTGCATCCTGAGTTCTTCCTTTGTCCCATGTCAAGAGTCCCATTTAAGTGTCTCTTTGCAGTAGGAATTCATTTAACTAGTATACTGTTTTTCCTTTACTGGTCTTAGTGGGATAGGGGGAAGTATGAAGTTATCTTATGTGATTAGGTCTGAGAGTTGGATATCGCTGTGCTGCTGTTGGATTGTTTATACCCTTCTACATTGAAATTTTCATTTGATGCTGTTTCCTAATGAATTGCTGAAAATCTTCTCTGCAGCCTGTTGGTGTTGTTGGAGTCATAACTCCTTGGAATTTCCCACTGGCAATGATTACCAGAAAGGTCTCAAACTCTCTCATGATTTATTAGATACCTCTAAGCAATTACTATGAAGTCTGGGGAAAACCACCATTGAGCAATTAATTGTTGTTCAATTTGTTCATTTTTATTTTTGATTGATCTGTGATAAATTAACATGTTCTTTTAACATTATCAGGTAGGTCCTGCTCTTGCTAGTGGTTGCACAGTAGTGATTAAACCATCAGAGCTTACTCCATTGACAGCTTTGGCAGCAGCAGAGCTCTCCATTCAGGCTGGGATACCTCCGGTAATTACTTTGGATTGGGTGTTTTGTTATCTCTCTCAGCATCTTAATCATTCACTCCCTTATTTCATAAAAATAGTCAATGTACTGTAAAATCAAACAAAAGGATAAGAGGACTTGCACTTGCACTTGCAGTTTCAATTAATACTAATAATAATTGACACTTCCTGAAAAGTGAAAGCTGAAATCAACAATCTAGTCAAGTATGTTGTGCACTCATACTGCAAACACAAAATAATAAAGTATGTTGTGCACTGATACTGCAAACACGAAATAGTCAAGTATGTTGTGCACCCATACTGCAAACACGAAATTAAAAACATTATGCAGAGATACTTCCTCGACCAAAATTATTTTAACACTTTTCATCTATTCTGAATCAGTTTTCATAAATACACTTCTAGTTTGGGATAGAGCCCCATCATAATTTATTACTCTCTTAGTCTTTCTTATCCACTCCGTACTCTCTCTGTTACATTTAAAAAGTACACCCCAAATTCCCCAATATCTCTTGTCATATCTACCTTTTCAATAAGATAACAATAGATAACCAAACAATTTATCACCTAAATTTATGCACCATGATAAGTGCAAGGACTATGAGAAACAAAAAGATGGTAATTGGTTTCTATTTCAAAGTCTAAAAATTTGAACATTCAAGACGAGAACTTGTCAGTTATGATGATTTTCCAAATTACAGACAACAGCACTCAGCTTGAGGAACAAATTCACGATAGAAGAATGTGAGAAGTAAGAGGGAAGTTGATACACGGTACCTGAGTTAGATGAGTCCAAGCCTCCAGAAAATCACGGTCAAATTGGAGTGCTTACATATGTGACTCCTCTGCTCTCTTGTACCCGTTAATTGTTGATAAGGACTGTCCCTAATGATATGATACTTAAGCCAGTCACCAAGAGGAGGAAGAAGACAGACATGCATACAATTTCTTGTGATCCAACATCCACATTATAAAATGAGAACCCCACCAAATAAGTGTATGCAGATTTATTACCCTCATCAAGCTGACACATGTAAAAAGTTCTTTTACAGCTAAACTAAAATCTTTAAACTTGTAATAACAATACCTGAATAGCAAACGTAAATTTATGTCAGAAACTGCCTACCAAAAAAGTGCTGGGTTATTAAACTAAGCATTGATGAGTGTAACACCAGTTAGAAAATCATCCATGTACCAGATCAAAATCAGAATCATGATAACTGCATTTCAGTAAAATAAATTTGCATATGAAGATTAACAAAAAAAAAAAAAAAAAAAAAAAAAAAAAAAAAAAAAAAAAAAAGGTTATCGTAAATAAAAATAACTCATGTGCTTCAAATTCATTAATTTCTAGTTCTTCAAGGACTACACCTCCAACTAAAAGGAACCTTCAAAAGAAAAGTCTTCCCAAAAAAGTATTTAAAAGACTCAGTCAAAATCTAGGAACTGGTAGTTTAGCATCTAGTCAAGACTAGCAGCCATGATGGAAAATACAAAAAAAAAAAAAAAAAAAAAAAAGGCCTAAGGTTTAGCCAGGATTATACTCACTCTACCTACTATAATTATCATAGCAGGAGCATCATCACATGGTTGACAAGAACAGTCAATTAGTCATTATTGATTGGAAAGGACTAATCAAATTCTGGAGAAGGGGTCTCAACTTAGAAGAGATTAGCTTGTTTATTAATTTGTAAATTGTATCACACAAGCCTATAGGACGGAATTAAACCGGCTTATTAATTTTCTGAATATAAGAGATAAAAGATTTATTATTTATTTCCTCCGTAAATGAGCTTGTCCTCTATATGTTGTTTTTATGATTTTTGAGAACTTTATATCGTCTGGTATATGGTTTCTTCCTTTAATTTAATCATTTTTCCTTTCTTTAAAAGTAACATTTTATATTTTACTTGTTTGGTATATAAAATAATTTTCTTTGAATGAAGCTAGTAACAGAGTAAATTCATAGTTAGAGGTTCTTGCAATAAATTACATATTTAATTTTATATATTATCCCAACCATGGAAACAAAACTCGGCCGTTCCGTTATGAAACGGGCACTTTGTAATGGGTTTTAGAGAGACCGAACCGAAAAACCCCGTTATATAACGGCGAGTCAAAAATCGCACCTAACGCGGTGCATCTCCCGTTCCATAACGGTGGAACAGCGTTCTGGAACCGTTATAGGCATTTAACGGCCGTTAAATTTCAGAAATTCCTACTATCCTTTTTATGCTTTTGCGATTTCACGGCTTCAAGCTTCCGGAGTTTCATAAATGGCGAAGAAGGAGGTTGAAGATGGGTCAAGGTCAAACATTCAGACTATTCAACAGGCAACAAACAATTTTTTTTTTTTTTTTTTTTTTGACAGCGACAACAGACAAAATTATAGAGGAGAGAGGAGAGAGAAATTAAAAATGAGTGGCTGAAAGATTAGACAATTGGACCCCAATTTCAATTAACTTCCTTTTCTTTCTATTTTTCATATTTTTGGACCCACCCTCCGTTATCCCTTTATTTATAAAAAAATGATTTAATAATTTTAAAAGTACACGTACAAGTATTTTAAGTTTTTAACTAAGCAGTACATCTTTAGATTAGAATATTACTGAAGATAGTACTGCACTACTACATGGTCTACATTATATTGTCTTTAGTATTTATTATGGAGTATAGTTTTGGCTATAATATGGTATAAAAACAAAGAATATGGGTCTACAAACTAAAAATTCTGCTTACGTGAAATTTTTTTAAACATTCACGCCGCAAAACCCGCGATCCAATTTATTTAACCGTTACAAGCCGTTTCCGCGACAATGCGACCGTTTCCGCAAACGCGACCGCGACCGCGTTTTTTTTCATGATCCCAACTTTCAAGAAAAAGAAAAAGAAAAAATATCCCGAACTTTTTGTAGTATTCTTTGTTGAATTTTCAAAACACCCAAAATATCAAACCTATATCGACTTAAATGTGCAAGAAAGAGGCAAAAGTAGATTAAATTGATTTTATGGTGCTTACCAAAAAAAAAAATAAAAATGTAGGTGGTTTCAGATTTTCCCTAGAAGGTGTTTTCATATTTGCTTTTCATAAGAAAATCTTATTTTGGCTGATGAACACTCGATCTGGCAAATAGTTGCTCCAGAATGAACTGCTCTAAGTTCCCTATGTTTCTGTTTGCATACAAATTAAGGAAACTGGAATAAAAGTGTTGATGTGGTGAGTAAATATAAGAAATAAGTGGATAATGTAAGGAAGGAAAAAAAGGTAGCTGAGTGTAAGAAAAATGTGGAAAAAGTAGGAAATTTTTTTTTATAAAAATTCATGAATTCATTCCTCAAATACATATAAATCTTATCGATTTTGTGATTTTGTGCAGCCGAATTGATCCCTTAGAAAGGAAAGTCAATGGAGAAAAGATTTAGTGGATTTCCTTTCTGTACTGCCATATTATTTTGTATTCTATAATAAACGTTCTCGTGTTGTAGAGTTGAATGTTTCTACTGAAGATAACATATAATTTTGGGTCACTTGTGTAAGGGTGCTTTTCTTTCTACGTTTCAGGGTGTAGTGAATGTTGTCATGGGAAATGCTAAAGAAATTGGGGATGCTTTACTGGCCAGCACGCAGGTTGGAATTCTGATAAAGGATTTTTGTGTCTTTCTCAGTATTTGTTGTTACTGAATGTCTGACAATGCTTGTAATTTTGTAAGGTGAGAAAAATCACTTTCACAGGTTCAACTGCTGTGGGAAAGAAATTAATGGCTGGTTCAGCTAATACTGTAAAAAGGGTATGGTTAATTTTTTATTTTTGTCTGTTTCGGATTTGTATGCTGATACCCTAATAATCTCCATTATTTATGTTAAGCTATCCCTGGAACTTGGTGGCAATGCACCCTGCATAGTGTTTGATGATGCAGACTTGGATGTGGCAGTGAAAGGAGCTGTAAGAATAAATTTTGCTTTATGTCATTTTAATTTTTATTTTACAGAAGTTGCAAATTTTATCTAAACAGTAAAGATACATCTATCTCTTTTCTGCTGGAATTGGTTACTGATTTTAAGGCCTTTTTAGATTCCTAGAAACTTGGAAAGAGTGATCTACATGTGCTGCAAGGAGTACAGAAGGGGTAAAGTGGGTCCATTAGGTGCTTTAACTCAATATGTTGTAGGGTTTTGAAGCAGCTGGTTAGCCAACCAATGAGTGCCACAGAATTCATTCTTCGATCTGAACCAAGCAGAACTTGACTCACTGGATTAAGTAGATTCTCTATAATCTAGGTCTCAGTAGACAGAATTAGTCTGGTAAAGCTCTAGGAGTTTGTTTTCTAATTAGGTTTTCTGTTTTTTTTGTTTTTAATTTTTTTTTAATGATTTGCTTTGGTGGGCCTCTGTTGTCTAATCTACTCACTCCGTTTCCGAAAGTTCTTAACATATACTATTTGCACACAACTTAATGTAATTGAAGAGAGAGTTTTGATGTGCTAAGTGGATGTAAAAAAAGGTTAATAAAGTAAGAGAGTTTGTTAAAACGTGGGTCTACGTTAGAAAAATTAAGAGAGAAATCGGAAATGTGTAAATACTGTGGGAAAGTGGAAATTTGTAAATTAAGAGAGATATGGTAGATACATTTAGAGAGAAAGTGGAAATGTGTAGATATTATGGGGTAAGAGGGGTGAAATAATAAAAGGTAATAATTACCTACTCTCTCTCTCTTCTTGTTAATAATTGTCCTCGGACTCCTCACCCATGTGCAAAATTTTTCCTTCTTAATTAAGTGAAAAATTAGGGCCTTGGAGCATTCTTTTAGGGCTGGAGGGAGTACAATATTGGTGTTCTGATGTGATTGGCTTAACAATCCCAAGTCCTTAACCAAAGCAACTTCCTTCTTTGTCTCTCTCGTTCCATCCATTTCTTCCTCCCTCTTTTACAATATTAGTATAGGAGGAAAGTACTAAAGATCTATCTCAATGCTAATTTCAATATCAAAACGTAGTATATTTTCCCCTTTTTAATTACGCACTGAAAATTGTAGATCAAGGTGAGAAGAGGGGATGAAGTATGGAATTCAATATTGAAAATACATAACTTGATTTTTGCTTTAGGTATAAGGGTAAAAAAAATAAAAGAAAAAAAGAGTATATGTTTGGCTAATGATTTATCTAAAAGGTTGTGAGGTGTGTAGCAAAATTGTTTATTTCATGTTTTAAGGCTTCAACATCATCAACAATAGCTTCTCCTAGCCCCAAAGGAAATAAATCGAAATAAATCACAATAGAGAATTCATGGGATGTAATTTGAATTTAAGCAAAGATTACTTGCCACAGTTTTAGAATTGGGAAAAGGCGAAGTAAGGATGCTTTAACATTAAATGGTAAGAAGTTTTCGTGCACATAAGACTCTTGATTTGCAAATCTGCCGATCGTTCGGAGGAAAGTTTAGATTTCCTATTAATGGGAAATTGTTGTTACTCTGTGAATTATCATCTTAATCCACTTCCTTTAAATCAATGTCTCAATCCCGCTCCTCTAAATCGTGGCTCTCACTCTTAGTCCCACAAAGTTAGCGTTCTTTCGAAAAATTCTTCTATTAAAGAACTATAGAAAAATGGTGAAATTTTCTGAAGAAAACAAGGCCTCTTTGGCCAAGATCGAGAAGTACTTATTTTTTAAAATGTTGATCTTCCTCCTAGTACTGTGCGAGGGTTGGTTTTGTTGTAAAATAAGTGTTTCAAAGGCTACAAATAATAGCATGAATAATGTAATTGTTTGATAAAAAAGATGGTGTGGCATAATTTTGTCACTGCTTTTGAAAACGAATTTCGGCGCAACCGAGGTGCACATTGTATCGTCGGTACATTCCCTAAGGTTACACACCACTCTCACTTAAAGGCCTTTTTTTTTGTATATGATGTGTATCCCAAGCCAAATTTATAAGGATGGAGTTTCAAGCTAGAGGATGAATCTAGACAGCAAAATGTGATTAAATCACCATAAATATCCACTTCAATGGGAGGTTACAAGAGAATCCAAGAGATGAAGGAAGAATGCCTAAAGGTGAATGTTTGTAGACATGAAAAAGTCTACTCCGCAGTCCACTTGTGGGCAATCGTTGTTGGTCACAACCTACTTGTAGAGTAGACTAATTTTTTTTATTATAAAATAGACATAAAAAGTCTACTCCTCAACCCACTCGTGGGCAAATGTTGTAGGCCACAACCTCCTTGTGGAGTAAACTGATTAACTACCAAAAAAATGGTTTTTACTCTCTTTAACCCAACAGGTTCAAACGAAATGAATGGAATGATTCAAAGTCTTGTGGGAAAACAAAGAGAAATGTTTAGTCCTAATGGAACTTCTTTTTACAAGGAGAAGGAATTTAAGATGGATGCTGAGTTGAAATATTTGAGGGAAGAGCTCACTCTTCTTTGTAAGACGAGTGAAGAGAAGACATCTCCATACTCATCGAGGGATCGTGCGAAGGTCCTTGAACTAAAATCATTCGATGGATCTAGGGATTTAAAGACCCTAGAGAATTTCATTTGGGATTTGGAGCACTATTTTAAAGTGACCGGGGAGATGGCGTTAAAGTTGATTTGGCCGCACTGTATCTTTTCAGGGATGCGAAGCTATGGCGGAGTGGGATGTGATGATTGACGAGTTTAGAAAGCAATTTTTACCTAACACCACATCTTGGGTTGCAAGGGATAAGTAGAAGGACCTTAAGCATAATAGTTCGATTCGTGAGTATGTTAAGGAGTTTATGTCATTGGTATCAGACTATCAGCAATATGTCCGAAGAGGACAAGTTATTCGAGTTCATGATAGGTTTGAAGCCATGGGCTCAAACCGAATTAAGAAGACAAAAGGTACAAGATTTGAATTATGCGATAATCATCGTGGAAGCGCTGGTTGATTGGAAACCATCAAACGTTTCTGATAACAAAGGCTGAAAAGAAAGAAGAAAATTTTTGGAAAGAATAAAGGTTTCCAAAGTGGTGAAAAGTCTGGTAAAAAATCCTACAACAAAAAGGAACAAAACTCATCGAACAAGAAGTCGCGCTTTAGCGATGGGTGTTTTATTTGCAAAGGGCCACACACAGCCAGAAACTACCATCGACGACAATTTTTGACATTGTTGGGCGAGTCTAGTGACGATGATGAGTCCATGGTGAAAGAGTGGGAAAATGATGTTGCACTTAGGATGAACACCATGAAATTATAGAGTGCAATCAAGGAAGAGCAAAAAGAACCCGTTGATGGTCTTATTTATTGTAGGGGCACTATAAACGGAAGGGATATGTGGACTATAATTCATACCGAGGCTACCAATAATTTTCTTAAGGTGGGTTAATCTCGAAGACGGGTTTGAAAGTTTAGCCTTCGTTAAAGGTGGCTACTTATTATTAAAATATTAATAAAAGCATGATGTTGTGTTAAATATTGAGTGTTCTATTGTGTTCTTTATATTGTGCTTTCATTTATAAGTTAAGTGTGAAAGTTAGGTTGGTTAGTTGATCTAACGCCATCCATAGTGAAACGAAAATTTCGCTATGACAATTTGGTATCAGCACCAAGCAAAGCACCGCTTTGCAAGCGTCGCGTCGCGTCGAAGAAAAAATTATCACAATGGGTGTTTTATTTTATACTAAATCATCTGTCCTCGAGATGATAGCAAAGCAGTGCGTTGCTTGGTGCTGTTACCAAATTGTCACAACAAATTTTTCGTTTCACAAATCAACTAACCAACCTAACTTTCACACCTAACAATATATGAAAGCACAATATGTAGAATACTCAATATTTATCACAACATGTTTTTATTAACATCATCAATAATGGGTAGTCACCTTTAATTATGGATGAACTTTCTAACCCATCTTCCGGACTAACCCACCTTAAAATTATGGGTAGCCCCTGTATCAATCATAGCCCACATATCGCTTCCGTTTATAGAGACCTTACATTAAATAAGACCATTCTTGGTGTTCATCCTAGGTGCAACATCATCTTCCTGCCCTTTCTCCATGGACTCCTAGTCGTCACTGAACTTGCCTAACAATGCAAAATGTTGTTTGTGTTTAGGGTAGTTTCTGGCTATGTGTGGCCCCTTGCAAATAAAACACCCATCCCTAAAACGCGACTTCTTGTTCGAAATGTTTTTTTCCTTCTGATTTTTTATCCGACTTTTTACCACTTTGGAAACCTTTCTTCGTTCCACGATCCTAGTTCTATCTTTTTCGCCTTTATTATCAGAAACGTTTGACATTTACCAAGCAACCAATGCTTTTGCGGTAACTGTCGCAAAATTCAAATCTTGAACTTTTTGTCTTCTTAATTTTGGTTTGAGCCCATGGCTTCAAACCCGTTATGAACTGGAATAACTTGTCTTTTTTCGATTTGTTTAAAAAAAAAGGTACCCCATTGATTTTACAAGAATAATGGGGATATTCACCATGATGCTCCTCATAGAATTTAGTTTAGGTGGCTCAAATATAGATTTTCCCTAATTTTTTTTACTTTAGTGACTGTTTATAATGTGTTCCTAGAATAATTTTCTGAGCTTTGTTCTTGGCCTCCGGTGAATGTGTATTTTTAATACGTAACAATGTATAAAACTATATATATATAGAGGAAGGCTCATGTAAGAACCCTCCTATATATAAGAACCCAATCTTATATAAGAACCAATCTCAACCCTTTATTAGTTTTGATCTAACCATCTAAAATGATCCTTTAGTAATGACATTTCTGTTTATTTTGAGAAGTTCGTATTTAGAACATAGAAAAGAATTTAGATTTTAGGTAAAATTTTAGAACATAAATAGAAATTTTTTTGAACATAAGTCGAAAATTTTAAAACATAAGAAAAATAATTTAGAACATAAGTTGAAAAAAAATAATTTATAGCATAGTTAAAAATTAATAACATAAGGTGAAAAAATAATTTAGAAAAAAACTATGTAGGAATCGAACCTACATCCCCTATGCAATTGCATAGTGCTCTTCCACTTGAGCTAATAGGTTTTAGCATACCCAACAATTAAATAGTGTAATCCAACCTGAATTTAACCATTACAATAACCCTATAATATAAAATCACCGGCTGCAATCAACCCCATCAACCCATAAAAGTATGAAAGAGGCATTACGCACTGTAGCATGCCACGCACAGCAGCAGGGCAGCAGCAAGCCAATAGCGGCAACATCAGGCTACCTGCAGCAGCATCAGTCACCTCCCCACTAGCTCCCCACTAGCTGCAAAAAACCACATATAGTCCCTTGATTAAGTCTTGATGTTGATGGTGAAGATTGGTATAAGATAGAGCATCTTTGCAGCCACATGGATAGACTATGATTCTATGAAGACAATTCCTCTCACTAATAGACACAAACCTATTACCCCTTCTTGGTTTCAATAAAATTCACATTCAAGGGATGGTTATGAAATTTATACACAAATAATATTATGATGTCATCAATTTGATTATACAAGTTTCGCCACTTAATGAATCACTGAAGACACGTATTGATCCAAATTAAAGAAAAAACAAAAAAAATCACCAAGTAACACTTGAGGAAAGATGCCAGTAAAGAGACGACTTTTTACAAAGCTAAGCTCACTTATTTTGAGTATGGAGAATAAAAAATAGTAACATGCAAATTAAATAGTACTCGTAGTGAAATTTAACCGTTATTATAACCTTATGTTCTAAATTTTCTACAAATGTTCTTAATTTTCTTGTTTTTCTCCCCTATGTTTCAATATTTTTTTCGATGTTCTAAATTTTTCCGCCTATATTCTATTTTTTCCCCTACGGTCTTAATTTTATTTTGTGTGTGATCTAATGTTTCAATATTTTTTTCGATGTTCTAAATTTTTTTTCCCCATGTTCTAATTTTTTTTTTCCATTCGCCTACGTTCTAAACTTTCTTCTTATGTTCTTTTTTTTAAGCATATGTTCTAAATTTTTCTTTTATGTTTTAAAACTATTTTTATGTTATAAATTTAATTTTGTCTAAGTTCTAATTTATTTTCCTATGTCCTTAATTTATCATGTTCTAAAATTTTAATGGCCATGTTCTAAAGTTTTTATTATAAAGTTCTAATTTTTTTTTTCCTATATTCTAAATTGTTTGCCTATATGTTCTAACTAGGTTAAGTCCCGTGCCATGCACGGTTATAATTAAACTATACAACAAAAATTATAAAGAATGGTTTTTATTTAGTTATTTATTTTTTATTTTTATTTTTGAGGGGAATAAAGAATGGTCGTTAATTTAACAATTTATTCAAAAAAAATATTTGTCACAAAATAACTTGAATTTTAATTTATACCAAGCGTAAAGGTTATTGTTTTGAATTTTATAAAAAATAATTTATTAATAGAAATTTAGAACCTATTAGGTTTTATATAAGAAAACGAAAATATAAGCTTAGGTTAGTACCCGTATATGTCTTCAATAAAAAAAGGGGAAAAAAAAAAGGTTAGTACCCGTATATGAACTCATATACATTTGTCCTTAATATTTTTGTTGCCACACTTTGACCGGCATTAAATGAAAATTTAGTTGATTTATATTACTTTAGGATAATTAGTATTCCATAATCAACTTTTTAAAAATGTATTTATAGTGAGTAGTAGCGGTTTTATTTTGATTTTAATAATCACATTGCATAACGATTAATGTTGGAGCTTGGAGGAAAAAATTGATACTCCTTAATATTATAATAATCTTGGACAATGATATATTTAATACCTTATTTTTAATCTATGTTTGTATACTTGTAACTAAAAGATTAAAGTATATAGAATATATGTTAAAAAAAAATATTAATTGGTATGATTAGGTTAGATATGTTGTCAAAATAGAAATAAGTATTATTGTAGCTTATAAAATGGAAGTCATTTAAATTTGGTAAAAAAAAAAAAAAAGGAAAGTGCAAAAAGGAGGGAAAATTATTAATGACATCGTGACAAATGTCATCTTAGATTCTCTTTTAGTATAGGTTAATTGATTTTTTATACCTATAATCTAAATTTTTTTGCCTGTGTTTTAATTTTTTTGTTGCCTATGTTCTAAATTACCTTCTTATGTTCTAACTTTCTTAGCCTATGTTCTAAAATTTTCTTTTATGTGCTAAATTTTTCTGCCTAAGTTCTGATTTTCTCGTATGTTCTAAAATTTTCTACCTATGTTCTAATTTTTTTTATTCCTATATGTTCTGAAGTTTTTTCATATGTTCTAAACTTTTTGCATATGTTCTAAACTTTTTGCTATGTTCTAAATATTTATTCCTTGTTCTAAAATTTTTATGTTTTAAATTTATTTCGTCTATGTTCAAAATGTATTTTGCCTATGTTCTAAACTTATTATTCTACCTATTTTTCAAATTTTTCTTTGTATGTTCTAAATTTTTTTCTAAATAAATGAGATGTCATGTGAGTTTCGACATGCTGAAAAATAATTTGGAACATGCTAAGCTTATTTACTAATCACAGAATTCAACACATTTTGCACTAATTTACAATAAATCATCAAAAATTGAAGAAAAAAATTGCAAAAAAACTGATAAATGAAGCAAAAAAATTAGCATATAAGAAAACACAATATCAAAAATCAATTCGGGATGGATCAATTCGAAATTGACGGATCTATAATCAATTGTATGAAGTTCAAGAAAAAAAATTCAAAAATTGAGAAATTCTGGAAAAATCTAAATTGATGGAAAAAAACAAAAAAAAAATCGAACAAAATACAAGGGAACTTAATTGAAAATATTACAAAAGAACACATAAATTCAATTAAAGTAAGAATAGAAGTTATAATGATGAATTCACAAAAGATTAAACTAGTGAAATTGCAAAAAACGAAGTAATTAATTCGAACAAAATCAAAAGATTAGCATATAATCAAAAGATTAGCAAAAATCAAACCCTAAATCTGCAAATTTCGGACCCTAAATTTGCAAAAATTGAACTCAAAAAAATCAAACTCCATGCGAAATTCATTAAAATCAAATCAGAAACATCAAACTCATGCAAAATTCATGAAAATCAAAACAGAAAAAACGCTGAAAATTCATGAAAAAACAAACAAATGGTCGAATATAATCATACCTGAATTATGATATCTAGAGTTTTTCACCAAAATTTGCTTTTAATTTGTGAAATTAACTTATTTTATGACCAATGTTGTTGATTTTAACTGACAATGTGAAGGAAAATTGTTGAAAGTTCTTCCAAGTGCAGCTTTTGATGTTTTTGAGGAGAGAGAAACTCACAAATGTTAAGATTGAGGAGAGAGAAAGTGAAAGATGTTTGAGTTTGAGGGTTTGTGATTTGTTTTAATCGTGGCCGTTCATATCAATCTAATCCTACGGCCGAGATTAATTCTTATATAACTAGGGTTCTTATATAAGGAGGGATTCTTACCGGATCCCTCGTGGAGAGAGAAAAATGTGGGTAACAATGGTTAGTATCAAATTTCTATGCTGCAAAAATGAGTATATGGTGTGTGAACACATGCAAGAGAAACTTAACAAAAATGGAAATGTTGTTAACTTGGAATTTCTCAAAAAGGGAAACACTGGAATAAAAAATGAAAGCAATGAAAGTATGAAGTATATAACTCATCCATTATTTTGTTCGCAACTTTGTATGTTATGTCCTGTATGGCTGCAATGTTATGATATGTTCATCTATGTAACATCTTTTTTTTTTTCTTTTTTTTTTTTTTGGTTTAACTACCATGTAAATTTATTATAAAGCATATGAAATTGTTTTGAAAGAAAATGTGCCCTAATGCATGATCTAATTTGCACTTTTGTCATATGCTCTCTTGGTCTCGCTAACGAATGTCTTGGTTATCTTTCGCAGCTAGGGACTAAGTTCCGTAATAGTGGACAAACATGTGTATGTGCTAATAGAATCCTTGTTCAAGAAGGTATGGTGGAATTTATTTTAAAGCCTTGGCTTTATAGTGTGGTGATACTAATCTTGTTTTGTTGAGTTTAATGATAATATATGCCAGTGGAAAACACATTAATAAAAAATTAAAAAATACAATCTCCTTAATCAGCGAACTTTTGTTTAATGTTAGCTCTGATATTAATTCAATGTGTGGAATTTTTTAAGATCTTAGAGTTGGGACAAGTACTAAGGCTATCTAAGAAACTATTAATTACTATCATGGTGATTAGAGTTTCAACATTTCAAAGGAGCAAGGGGCATTGTTACAAGGGCAAAGCCCCTTAAAACTTACTTTTAGTCCTGGATGTCTGTGGCAATCTATACCACCATGCTTTAATTTTGATGTCCTCATATTGCAACATTAGTATGTGACACTTTACTGTGACATTGATGAAGCAACGATTTATGCAATCTAGTGTGGTAATTTATGACTGTTCATCATGCATGACCCTTTTCCTTGAGAGAATAGTATAGTTTCAAGGGATATTAGTTTCTCTGTATAAGTTTTTTGACTTGTACCTTGTTCATGTGGTTGAATGGCCTAAATATATTTGAAGCGTGACCAAAATTTGAAAAAGTCCCATTAAAACAGCTGATTGTACCAAATAGCTTTGTTAACAGCTAATGCTACCAATTAACTAAAGCAACAAGAATATATCCAACTGTGAAACAAGATTTTTTAACTAATGGCCAACAACTGCTTACTTGACAAGACCTTAATTTTTTGATAAAAAACGTAATCTAACCAAGTAAGCAAAGCGCGAAGCATCTTGAAAGTAGAGAGTGAATGTATTGTAACATCTTCTTTTTTTTTTTTTTTTTTTTTTTTTTTTTTTTTTTTAAATACTATAAATACTCATCAATCAAGTTAAGTCTTGTCGCTCAATCCTTTGTGTCAAACCCTAAAAATTTTCATCATAAACTGCAGGTATTTATGATAAATTTGCTAGCGCTTTTTCAAATGCTGTCCAGAAACTTCAAGTAGGGGATGGATTTGTTGATGGTGTTGCTCAGGTGATGTATTATCTTACTTTGTGTTGAAAACTTGAAATTGATTGTTAGGTTTATTTGTTATAATTTCTAGAGAAATGTGTGGTTCTTTGACAGATGTGTTATTTATTTATGTTGCATTATATATGAGTTAATTTGAGGTCCACTAGGATTTTACTTGTAAGATGACCATGCTGAAATACATGCAAATATTCATTTTGTTTTTATAATGGCAATCTATCTTAGAAGCTTGGTAAGCATATAATTAGATTTTAACCAACTATTGTTAATTAAGTGTGCCTAAATGTTGCAGGGACCACTCATTAATGAAGCTGCCGTTCAGAAGGTAATTTTGCTATCAGGGTTCTAGTAATGGTTGTTGGACCTTATGGAAGATTACAAGGTCACTTATAATTTTTTTTTTTTCATGACAATGTATAGGTTGAAAAATTTGTTCAAGATGCCATCTCAAAGGTAAACCATTCTCTTTTTATACACGCTAGCATACTTACCTTCCCCTCTTTGTTCTTTGTTCTGAAGTGTATTCCCCCTCCCCTGGGTACCCAAACCTAATTGTACTGTGTTATAGCTTCAGTAACTGAAAAGTATCTCCTCTTCCTTTTGAAGGGAGCCAAAGTTCTTCTTGGTGGTAGAAGACATCATCTTGGAATGACCTTTTATGAACCCACAGTAATGGCAGACATCAACAATGAGATGCTTATATCTAGGTACTTACTGAATCCTTGTGGTTATTATGCTCTCGTTCAATTCATGTGTGTGGGTAGTTGGTTGGGCAAGACAACGATTGGACATCTAGGCTTCAAGAGAACAATCATTTCTTGTGAGCGATAATGTTATGTGTACCCTAAGTGTCCACTTTGAGGGAAGTTGCACAAGTAATCTACTCCTGCCCTGAAATCCTGATAATTTATATTACATTGATTTTATGACCATATATTTATCTTATTTATTTTTGTACTTGCAATACTTTCATAAAACGAAAATGTCATGTTACTTGCAACCAAGCCAAGTTTAGTAATAGTTAAATGGAGAAAAGGGAAGATTGCCCTTACTTGAACGCCCTTTCTACTTCCACTGTCCTCCACCCTTCTTCATTCCACATTCCAGGTCCTACCTCCCACTTACATGATCCACCAGCCATTACCAGTCGGTTAAACCAGCTAGCCCTTTTCCCCTATGTTAGCTAACTCACCAGTCAGTCAGTCAATCACTAGTCCACCACCACTCTCCTCTTTTTAACTTCCCAGAATTCGAATTACCTCCCTTGATGCCCACTTAATATGACAATTAAGGCCAAGCTAACAGACCTCTACCTTACCTTATGTTGGCGTTAGCACGCAACATGAACTATGAGGGAGATAGAGGAAGTAACCTATTTACCAACATTGTTACCACCTTCAAGGCTTCAACCTTATCACATCCACAATAGAGATGAGGAGAAAGAGAGAAGGGGGTAAGAGAGAGAGAGAGAGAGAGAGAGAGAGAGAGAGAGAGAGAGAGAGAGAGAGGAGGGGGGGGGGACCACGTGATATCTCTTTAATGAGCCAAACTACTAACCTGGGTAGAGGAAGGTGTGGTTTGACTACCAAGAAAGAAAGATGACATCAACCTACCCTTTCCACTTTCTCTTTGGTTTGGCTACAAGCAAATATATGAGATGTAGCTTTTATATTATTATGTATGAGTATATTTCATTTAAATTTGAAAATCGCTCTTGTATTGCAGCTACTAGAGTAAACAATATAGGCCAAACGTTCGCTTAGACAAAAATTTTAAATACCATGATTATATTGTTCCTCTCCCATTCCATATCTTTTCGCTTTTGTGGTTACATGTTTGTTTTCCAGAGATCAATGTGAAAGGATAGGCAGAGCGAGCAAAAATATTAATATCCTTTTGGTTTTCACTTATACATAGGATTTTAAAAACAAAGGGATTGTTTGGAAATGTTTACTTACTAATGTGTTTGGATTGAAATTAGGATGGTGAGGGATGAGGAAGGGAAGGGGAGGGTAAGAAAGAGAGGATAATTACTAGCTCCTTTTCTCGAATGAGGAGAAGAGAAGGGAAGCCCGCTAGATTCTTAAAGACCCTTCTTTCTCTCAACCCCAATTACCACCTCCTCTTCTGCCTCTTTCATCGCCATATAGAGAGCATCATTTGCTGCCGCTGCAAATTCCTTTGTTTGGCTCTTTTTGTCTTAGAAGAGGCCACAATGGAAAATTACAAGTGAGCAAACCAAGATCTTGTCATGAGTGACTCAACAAAATAAATCATAGTTTCAAAAGGGAAAATGATTACGTTGTGTAGCAAGAAATAATATGGTTAATTAACATTTTCACCCTAAGTGGTTTTTATGTGTCCCTATCCCTTCCAAATCACTCCAATTTTCTAAAGATTATATTTATTGTACTATAAAAGAAATAGATTTCTTCCATCCTCATTCCCTCCATAAGTCCATTTCAAACATTCTCATACCTTGCTATCTAAACAATGGAAAATGTTTCTCTCCCTTTCCCTTCTTTTTCTCTCTTACCAAATCCCTTTATCCGAACAGTGTACAAGAGTCTTTATTTTAGTTTCATCAAATTCATGGAACAAAATTTGAAGAAAAGGTGTATTCATAAATTTGTTTCATTTTACTTAGATAAATAGGGAAATTAATTTATAACTTCATCGTGGCAAAGGTGGCTGATACTTCTAAGACTTCAACCAAGTCTGTCCCAATTATTATGAGGCCCTACAATTGAGATAAACTAGGCCCTCTCTTTAATGAAATGGAAGAGAAACTAACGATGTATAAATATCTCCTAATTAAATTTATATCCTCAAATAAGTTAATAATCAATCGAGTCATAACTTTAATAGCGTTCTATTTTTGAAAATTACAAACTGAATGAAAAAATACAAACTGTAATGTGTCTTGTGAGGATCAAAATTCAAAAGCAATAAAGAAAGAAAAATAATTAAAGGTATTGTGAGAATTGAACAAGAAATCTACAAGACTTTTATTGTACTATTGAACCAAAGCACCTCAACTTATTATCTTGCACAACAAATTTAATACAATAGGTTACTTATTTGAGGCCCCAAACAAATTTGGCCCTGTGCGGTTGCATAGACTAAGAGTACTGTGGTACCTAAATAATAAGATATCCAAGAATATTTTATACTATCTACAATTTTTGTAGCAACCTAGATATGAGGATAGCTAATTGTGAGGTTTAAGATTTAGACATTGTTTTTACACTATTGGTCCACTTTGAATCTTGATATGCAAATATGATGAGTTGATTGGACTGTGGAGTAGACTATCACATTCCAATCCTTGGTTAAAATTGCAGGGAGGAAATCTTTGGGCCTGTTGCTCCTCTTCTTCCCTTTAAAACAGAGGAAGATGCTATTCGCTTGGCAAATGACACCAATGCAGGTTTGTTTATTGATTATAGTCTTGTAGCTTAGACAGCGCATCAAATTACTCTGCAATATGTGTGCATTATTCATACAGAAATCATAATCTATGTACAGAAACCTAACCCTGAATGTCTTTTCATAGTTCAGTGGTGTAGACTGATGTTATTTCTTTCATTTGTGGTGTGGATTCCTCCATTCAGGATTAGCTGCATATTTATTCACAACAAATATTCAACGTTCTTGGCGTGTTAGTGAAGCCCTTGAATATGGAATTGTTGGTGTTAACGAGGGATTAGTTTCCACGGAGGTCTGTATGCGTTTTCAAAGTATTCAAAAGATAATAGCTAGTTTTTTGTTTTTTTTTTCAAAGAGCAGCTAATGTGCAACAGGTGGCTCCATTTGGAGGATTTAAGCAGTCTGGTATTGGACGAGAGGGTTCTAAGTATGGCATGGATGAATATGTTGAAGTAAGTTACATGGTTTAGCTTTCCTTATGGAATCAAATTTAACAAGTTGATTGTGATAAATGATTATATGGCATTTTTTGTCCGTTAATGTGGTGTTAATCCCGATAAAGAATGTTAAGCAAAATAGATAAGTTACGCATAGAGACTTTGATCTCAAAAATCTATTGCAAGAATTCAGTGCTTTGTGGACCAAACAATGTTTCAACTGTGCTACTAAAAACAGTTGCATGGGTGTCTCTGCATATTAGTTTAGTGAATGAATCTACATTTTGATTTTGAACGAGTTCACATTTATAATTGCAGCCTGAAATGGGGATTCAGATCAAATAGTAGGCTCTTTATGATCACTCAATGAGATGAGAATTTGTCGGCAGTAAGAGCACTCACACTAGTGAGCAAAAAAAATTTGCTCATTCTCTCTCTAGCCACTTTTTGTCTCTTGCCAACCATGAGCATTTTTTGTGAGCAAATTTTATTCCACTAGTGAGCAAAAAAAAAAAAAAAATGCTCATCAATCTCTCTCCTACTTTTTCACATACTCCACCAACATTTCTCTCGACTTACACATCACCATATTATTATTAATTATGTTTTGGTTAAATGAAGTTTTAATGCTACTAATTACAATTATGTTAGGCTTTGTGATGATCAGACACATGATAAGAGACCAACTACGTAGATCATTGTTCCGCGTAGCTTAGGTCAAGGTTTAGTTACAGATGTTGCAGAATTTTATAATGTGGCTTTCAGTCACACTTTCTCTCTGTTCTCGGTGTTTAATATTGCAGATAAAAACATAGAATTTGTTTACATGATCATTGATACTATCCAATTGACACCTTTTCTATGCATAATTTTTCAGGTTAAATACGTATGTTTGGGTAACATGCATGGTTAAATTAATTGGGACAAATGCACCTATCATTAATGGTAAGCTATAGAAACTTATTCGAAATGTATCAGTCTTTGTACTATTTTGTCTTCTGTACGAAACTTCTATATTTACTCGGTTGGAGTTCATGAAGTTTTCATAATTTTATGCAGGTTCACGCACATTGGTTATTTATATATCTGGGGAATCATGCAATCTGGTCTGTGACGTACAAAATGAGCATCAGTAGAATGACGTAGATAGTACAAAATGAGCATCGTGGGTCTAGTGTGGACTTCAAGTTCTCCAACTTGGCTCGAATAAAGTTTGCTCGCACCTGTCTCTTGGTGTTTATGCGTAGTGTAGTTTGTTGGTTTTATTTTTTGTGTTTCTTTAATAATACTCTGTCATTTTTAGTTTCCTTTGAGTGACTTATATATTTTGGGAATGATTCTAGGGTGACGGTGATCAGAGAAACTTTGATTACCATAAGCCAAAAGCGGGTCTGATCCTCATGGCCACAAACACACACACACACACAAAAAAAAAAAAAAAAAAAAAAAAAAAAAAAAAAGTCCTTTATTTCCTTTTTAGCAAAAAAAAATCATATTCCTAATTTTACAAAATGTTAAAAATCTAAGTAAAATCATATATTATTATTTATGATAATCAGAATATGAAATAATTAGAAATTTTTTAAGAGAAATAATTAGCAATTAAAATTATTGATGCTAATTACTCTCTTAGGGTTTACTTAACCCCTTTCTGTCTCCTTCATCTTTTCTCCCGGTCACCGAAAATGGTCGTCGGTAGGTTTTTGAGAACATCAAATCCGTGGTGAACATCACCAGTCATTTATAAACATTTGAAATGGAATTTGTATTCATGGATACTATCAGAATTTCTCTATCTTATGGTTAGTACAAAGACTAGAATAAATTCGGTCTACAATAACTCATTGTAGACCCAACCTTCTTGTATACCATATGAATGTGATTATATCATACGAGATGTGATTATACTACCTCCGTTACAGGTTATGTGCAACGATTAGACATTTTCCCTCTCTACTTTATGTCAAATCGTTGCACATAACCTGTAACGGAGGTAGTATCATTTTGAAACTGTTATGTAAATGTATAATTCAAAAGGTGAATTTATCATTATAAAAAGTATCAAATAGTAAATTACATCATTCAAAACATGATTTTTAAATTTTATCATCCTAAAGATAATTATATAACCTCTGGTTTAATATGAGACTAGTTTTGTGCCCGTGCGATGCCCGGGTTTTTTTTTTTTTTTTTGAATTTTAAGATGTCTAATTTTAAAAATGATTATTGATACAAAATTAGTTAGTAATTGACGTGCTTTTGTGACCATTTGTTATCTAGTAGACACATAACGACTAATAATAATTGATTAGGGGATTTTTATCCACCAATCACCGTCTGACAAGTGGACCAACCAGGTTCCGCCACGTGTCCTTCACGAAGGACAACAGGAGCCTGCCACGTGTCAATCACAGATACGTCCTCTACGGACCACTTTAGACACGCCACGTGTCCACCCATGCCAAATGGGAAAATCGGCCACCAAGGCCCAATCCAGTCTAGAGGCCCGTTCAGCCCTAGGTTTACCCTAAACCTAAAGAAGTGGCACGCTTCTCAAGGCTATAAATACTTAATTAATCCTCATTAATCACACGATCGAATAATCAAGAAATCAAGCAGAGAAGAACAGAGTTATTAACAACCGGCTAATCTCGCTAACGACGCAGATTACCAACATTAAGCACTCTCACCTAGAGAGATCTCATTACTTTAATTTCTGTATTAATTACTCCTTAATCAGGTACTAACTTGACCGTTGGAGGCGGAGCTCTCTGGAGTCTCCGTTATTTTGCAGGTACAGGCGTCCGGTTCCAGTCTCGGAATTGTAACTCTCCCGCAGGACATCAGAAAACCCTGAAACATTTGGCGCCGTCTGTGGGGAGAGTACTTCAGAGATGGCATCCAAGTCTGTACCGACTCCAGAAGAGAGGCGTCCCCTAGACGACCCTCAAGTTCAGTCGGACCATGATACCGAAAGTGAATTTGAAGTTGAAACTCATACAGCTCCAGACGGGACCCTAAGGGCCCGACGTACCCGTCATACCGAAAGGAGGGAACGGGAGCATCTTCAAACAGGAAGCGAGCCAGCAGGCGCACCGCTTGCTCGGCAACAGCCGACTGATGGGTCTGCTCCCATCACAAGGAACGAACTCATGACCTTCATGAGGGATTTCAAGGGAGAGATTCAAGAGTTGATCAACAAAAAACCGCCTGCTTCAGTCAAAGAGCAGTCGGCCAAGAAACCTTCCACTTCACTGAAGAAGAAGCCAGTTCAAGGGCGAGAGGCGACTCCCCATCCTAAATCCAAGAAGCGGGAGCCACCTGCTCTTGATTTCACAAAACTCCGTTATCCTACGGGAAATAGGAAACCGGTTCGTCATATTCAGGCGGATGGGTCAAAGCAAACGTTCACAGATGCTCGGCACCTGCTAGAGCAGAAGAAGAGTGATCGATTATCAGAGTCGGCTTCTACTTCAAATTTTCAGGACAGTTTGCGAAATGCCTCGATGAGGCATACTCAGTCGTACCATGAGAGTCAGTCAGGCGGCACCTCCCGTCAGTCCGGCTTTCATAGTGCCCAGGCGGTACCAAACTTACCATTTGTGACGCAACAACAGTATTTTATGCAGCCACCTCCATTTGGTGGACCTGCAGCAAAAAACGTCCAACCTATGGACTGGCAGCTACGGCTGCTTAGACTTGGTGAACAGCCGTCGGCCTTCTCCAAGGAAATTACTGAAGCCGCTCAGCCGGCCAAAGTAAAAAATGTTCTAGTAGGCGCCTATGACGGCACTACTAACCCAGAAGACCATCTGATGGCATTCACCAACCTGATGTACCTTCAAGGGTTGGATGATCCCACTTGGTGCAAGTGTTTCCCAGCGACTCTCAAGGGAATTGCACAGCAATGGTTCGGCAACCTGCCGACTGGTTGTGTAAACAACTTCAGGACGCTTGCTTACTTATTTGCCTCCAACTTCGCTATGAACATCCCTGCGAAGAAAACGACCCTTGATTTGGGAACAATTCAGCAGGGCGAGAAGGAGGGGCTTCGTTCTTACATCAGGCGGTTCAACCTGATGAGAATACAGATTCAAGGGTTACCGGATGAGGTAGCTTATACTGACTTTTTTAGAGGTCTCAAAGACGGGTCTACCTTTAAATTTGATTTAGTTCGAAAAAGGGTGGCGACTCTTCAAGAGGCCTTGATTGAAGCGGAAGCCTATATACAGGCGACTGATCTGTGTACGATAAAACAGTCGGACGGGAAGAGGTTCGACAAAAGAGAGGGACGACAGAAACAGTCGTCCAACAAAGATGAGAAAAGAAAAGAGGTCTGGGCGGCTGATTCCTCTAAACAGCCGGCCCAGAAAAAGAAAAAAGAATTCAAACCATACTCCCCAAAGTATGTGTTTAACAAGGATAACCAGTTTATCCTAAAAGAAATAAAGGGACGGCTCTCAATTGAGAAGCCGCTCCCCATGAAGGGTTCTGCGAGCAACCGGAACCAAGACAAAATCTGTGCTTATCATGATGACGTTGGTCATCACACCAATGACTGCATCAGTCTCATGCGGTACCTAGACCGCTTGGCTGATCAAGGTGATCTTGACACTTATGTCAAGAAATCTACGGGGAACACTTCCTCAAAAAAGCAGTCGGCCAAAAAGAATCAACAGGCCGACAGTTCCGATACAGATGATGCAGTCGTCTACACCATTGCAGGCGGCTTCTCAGGAGGCGGCCCCACTATTAGGGGCAACAAAGATAATATAAGGCGGTTAGATGTAAATTCCGTTCACCAAGAACAGCCGACCAAATATACATTTCCTGAGATTGTCATCACTGAAGAGGATCTAGGAGGAATAAGGGGGCCGCATGACGACCCTCTCGTTATTGAATGTAAAGTGGCCAACCAGAGAGTTGGCCGAATCCTCATAGATACCGGGAGCTCCTCAGATCTCATCAGCAGCAAATGTCTGTCAAAACTGAAATATCAGACGGACTGCATACATCCGGCCTCCCACCCTTTGATAGGGTTTGGAGGAGGAGTCGTCCACCCACTGGGACGAGTAGATCTACCCATTCGCCTGGGCGAAAAAGGGGAAGGACGACACATGGTAGTCCGGTTCCTAGTAGTAGAGGAACTCTCGGCCTACAACATGATTCTGGGTCGACCAACCCTGAATAATTCCAAGGCTGTTATAATCCCGTCACTTATGCTGCTTAAGTTTGAAAGGGATAATGGAACAGTCGGCTCCCTAAGGGGAGATCAGAGGATGGCCCGAGAGTGCTATCTCTCGGATGTCAAGCCCACTGTTATGGCCACTGGGTCAAGTGGAGAAAAAACAGACCTTGACAACGTCAAGGAGAGTGCGTCTGTTCAAGAAACAGGCGACAAAAAGAGAAAGGCGCCCCAGACAGAGTCCGCAAGAAAAGCAAGAAAATAGCAATCATTGGCAGAGGACCGGCCGGATGAGTTCCGCCCTCAACCGGCTGGTGAGCATGCGGACCTGATATTAGACGACTCCCGTCCTGACCGAACAGTCAAAGTTGGGACGACTGCTCTGAGAAACCTTGGTGATGACTTTCACAACCTGTTGAAAGAATACAAGGACATCTTTGCATTTGAAGTCCATGAAATGCCAGGCATTAGTCCTGATCTGGCAGTACATAAACTCGCTGTGGATCCGAAAAAGAAGCCGGTACGGCAAAAGAAGCGGAACCATGGTGAAGAAAGAGGTCAGGCGGCAGCCGCCGAAGTCAAAAAATTACTTGATGCAGGGTTCATTCGGCAATGTTACTTCCCAGATTGGGTTGCAAATGTGGTGCTTGTTAAAAAGCCGAATGGCACCTGGCGAATGTGTGTAGACTACACAGACTTGAACAAGGCGTGCCCCAAAGACAGTTACCCTCTGCCTAAAATTGATAATCTGGTCGACTCAACAGCCGGCCATGCCTTGATGAGTTTTATGGACGCTTATTCTGGTTTCCATCAAATTCCTTTATGGAAGAAGGATCAGGAGAAGACGACCTTCGTCACTGATCAGGGATTATACTGTTACACGGTCATGTCGTTTGGTCTTAAGAATGCCCCGGCTACCTTCCAACGAATGATAAACACAGTGTTCTTTGATCAGATTGGGAGAAACGTCGAGGCATATATTGATGATATGATTGTCAAGACTAAACTTCAGAAAGATCATCTGACGGACCTCCGAGAAACTTTCGCCACACTCAGGCGGCACCATGTCATGCTCAATCCCAAGAAATGTGTATTTGGAGTTGAGTCTGGGAAATTTCTCGGATTCCTTATCAATCAGAGAGGAATAGAGGCGAACCCTGAGAAGGTACAGGCGGTCATAGACATGCAGTCGCCTCGTACCGTCCGAGAAGTTCAGAAGTTAACAGGTTGTCTGGCGGCCTTGGGGAGATTCCTAAGCCGATCAGGCGACAAATGCCTATACTTTTTCCAGGCAATTAAGAAAAAGGCAAGGTTTGAATGGGGGCCGGATGCTGAGGCCGCCTTCCAGAAATTAAAAGTTCACCTGCATT